ACATTCACTTGCATGGTGCCACACGAGCTGGTTGCAGAGAGTTTGGAAGATGACCCAAGTATCATTGCTGACGTTCAAGATGCGATCGACTCGATGGAAATGCCACCGTGTTTCTTCGAGAACCCAGTTGTCCAAGAACATCTGGGGCCAGACTCGCCAATCATACCGCTGGGGTTGTTCACTGATGGTGTCCCGTACAGCCAAACCGACACAGCAGTCGGTTTTTGGTTAGTGAACATGGTCACGCAATCTCGAGTGTTATTCGCGTTAGTACGCAAGAAGCTTGCGTGTCATTGCGGCTGCAGGGGCTGGTGCACATATTTCAATATTTTTTCTTTCATAGCATGGAGCCTACGCAGCTTGTGTAAAGGGTCCTTCCCACTTGAGCGCCACGACGGATCGGAATTTCAAGATGACGATTCATACAGGAAGATGTTGGCTGGCAAATTGATGCGCGCAAGAGGTGTGCTCATCTATAACAAGGCCGACTGGGCTGAATTATCAACGACGTTTGGGTGGCCCTCATGGGGCGACAGTTTGAGGCCGTGCTTCCAATGCAATGGGTTTGGCGACAACTTGTATCTCGATGTTGGCTGGAGTTTAACTGGGTCTCCTTTCAGAGAGAACGTTGTCGGTGATTACGATTGGGCCTGTCAGATGTGCGAGCATGTTGTTGTTCTGTCGCATGACACACACAAGGCCCTGTGCGACGTGTTGTTCTACGACAAAAGATCTGGAAGCAGTTCGTCAAAGGGTCTAGCCCTTAAGGTTGCTTTGCCCGCCCTCGGTCTCCAGCAGGGGGACAGGGTGGAGCCAACAAAGTGGATGCCAGATGTGTCAGCAATATTCAGAATCACGCAGTTTCCATGCCCAATTCTTATTTGGAGACCGTCTGCTGAAACAATTGCTCGGCATAGAAACCCAATATATGATATCGAATTTGGCGTCGACCCGTGCACGCATACTTGCATCGATTCGCTTCACGCGCTATACCTCGGCTGCATGAAGGATCTGTGTAGGGAGCTCGCGTGGGCAACGATTGACGCTGGCCTGTGGGGCACGGCAGGGACAGTGGAGCACAATCTCGAGGTCGCTGCCATTGCTATGAAGCACGAACTTCATGGGTTCTACACCGAATGGAAAGAAACAGGTTTGAATTCGACTCTGACGGAAATCCACGCCATGAGTGCCAAGTTGTTTGGCACAAATTCAGACAGGAAGTTGAGGACGAAAGGCGCTGAAACATGGGGCTTCCTGTTATTTCTAGTCCACATGTTCAACCGTCGTTGGAAGATTCAAGGCCGCTTGCAGCGCGAATCGGTTCGACTTTTCGAGGCCGCGGAATGCATGATCAAACTGTGCTACCGCATGGATAATATCGGCTGGAAATTCTGTGACTCCGACATAGATGAGTGCTTGGAACACTGGAAACGGTTTTGTTCTCTCACCCGTCATTGTGAGCGATTGCTTACGCCAAAGCGCCACATCCTGTGGCACATGCTTCAGCGGGCTGCGTTCTTGGGGAACCCACGGTTCTACGCAAATTGGACAGACGAGGGGCTCAATAGAGTTTTGAAAGGTGCATGTCGCGAGCAGTCCCAGGTGACGTTCGAGGAGTGCGTGTTACTGTCGATGCCTTTCCTTGTGTAAAAAGTAACCCCACAAACATCACGCAAAACACGCATAACAACAATTTGCTATTTGCGTGGGAAGAGGTGTCGGACAAATTAGCACACATGTAAACAGATCCCCACCGTCTCTTCCTCCCCCATCAGCCTCCTCCCCCTTCCGAGTAACCGTGCAAATCAGCAAAGTCGAGATCCGAGGAAATAGGAAACCAGCAAAGTCGAGATCCGAGGAACAGGAAAACCAGCAGAGTCGAGATCGAGGAACCAGGGGAACCAGCAAAGTCGAGATCCGAGGAACCAGGAAAACCAGCGACGTCGAGATCCGATGAAGCAAGACAACCAGTGAAAACGAAATCAGAGAAACCAGGGCAATCGATCGAGCCGAAATCCGAGAAAGGACCAAGAGGGGCCGAAGGAGCAGGAGGAGCAGCATAAGCAGGAGGAGCAGGTGGAGGAGGGGCTGGGCGAACAGGGGGAACAGGCGGAGGAGGAGGAGGACGGGGAGGAGGAGGATGGGGGAAGAGGAGGGGGGGAGGGGGGAGGGGGGCGGGGAAGGATGAGGAGGGGGAGGCGGAGGAGAAGGAAGAGGGGGAGGAGGGAGGGGTGGCCAGGGGGAGGAGGAGCAGGAGGAGGATGAGGAGGAAAGGGAAGCGGATGAGGGGAGGAGGGGGAGGAGGAGAGGGGCTTTGAGGATGAGAAACAACAATGGAACATGTTGCGGATAAAAGGAGGGAGAAGAGGAAGAGGAGCGGGCGAGCGGCGAGCGCGCGGCCGCCCGCTTGGACGTCAAGGTCAAGGCGCCACCCGCGGCCGCGGGGCAGGGGGAGGAGGAGGAGCGGGGGGGGCATTCCTCCCCCTCCCCCTCCTCCTCCTTCCTCCTCCTCCTCCTCCTCCTCCTCCTCCGCCGCCGCTGCCTCCTCTTCCTTATCCTCTTCCTCCGTCGCCATTTTGGCTCAAACCATTTGTTGGGTAACGCCTGGGGCGAGTGCTCAACGGCACTGAGCGCGGAAAACCCGAACGATACACTCATAAAGCGTCTGCGCGCTCCAACAGCCACAACTTCAACGTACATCTTGGAACCCATAACTGTACGTAAAATATCACGTACAAAAACTGTCCGTAACGGACAGTTTTTTGTACGTGATGGACCACAGGGGGGGTTGGCTTTCGCCGGGGTTGGCTTTCGCCGGGGTTGGCTTTCGCCGGGGGTTGGCTTTCGCCGGGGCTGGCTTTCGCCGGGGTTGGCTTTCGCCGGGTTGGCTTTCGCCGGGGTTGGCTTTCGCCGGGTTGGCTTTCGCCGGGGTTGGCTTTCGCCGGGGTTGGCTTTCGCCGGGTTGGCTTTCGCCGGGGCCGGGCGGGGAGCAGGCGGGGCAGGCTCAGGGGCAATAGCAGGCGCCGCCTTCGCTGGCGTGGCCGTCGCCGCCGCCGTGCTGACCCCCGGGAGCCTTTGAGGCGCGCCGCTTGAGTAGGCGAAAGGGTCGCAGAGACGTGGGGGGGGGGGGGTCAAGGAGGTCCTGGATGTCAAGGAGGGTCTGAGATGCGTCAGAACGGGACGCTATAAAATGCGGGGCGCGCTCAAGTGGGCACGCGTGAGCCCCAGCGTGCAGGCCCGATCGGGTGGGCGGACCCTAACGGGCGGGAAGGGTCGAGCGGACCCTCACACGCGGGCCGGGTCGGGCGAGCGGATCCTAACGGGCGGGGCGGGTCGCGCCGGGTCGGGCGGACCCTAGCGGGCGGGTCGGGTCGGGCGGGCGGGACACTAAAGTGTGGGGCGCGCTCGAGCGAGCACGCGTGAACCCCAACGGGCCCGGGTCGGGCGGAACGGGCGGTGCGGGTCGGGCCGGGCGGACCCTAACGGGCGGGTCGGGTCGGGCAGGCGGGACACTAAAGTGTGGAGGCGCACTCGAGTGAGCACGCGTGAACCCTGACGGGCGGGTCGGGTCGGGTCGGGCGACCCTGGCGGGCGAAGCGGTTCGGGTCGGGTCGGGCAGACCCTAACGGGCGGGTCGGGTCGGGCGGGCGGGACACTAAAGTGTGGGGCGCGCTCGAGTGACACGCTGAACCCTAACGGCGGGTCGGGGCGGACGGGCGGACCCTAAACGGCGGCGGGGGACGGGTTCGGTCGGGGCGGACCCTAACGGGCGGGTCGGGTGAAGCGGGCGGGGCACTAAAGTGTGGGGCGCGCACGAGTGAGCACGCGTGAACCCTAACGGGCGGGTCGGGTCGTGTCGGGCGGACCCTAACGGGCGGGCCGGGTCCGGCCGGGCGGACCCTAACGGGCGGGTCGGGTCGGGCGGGCGGACACTAAAAGGGGGGCCGCTCGAAGAAAAAAAAAAAGAAAAAATGGATAGCGAGCCCACGCGTGAACACCAACGGGCGGGTCCGGGTCCCCGGGTCGGGCGGACCCTAACGGGCGGGGCCGTGGTTCGGGTCGGGCGGACCCTAGCGGGCGGGTCGGGTGAAGCGGGCGGGGCACTAAAGTGTGGGGCGCGCTCGAGTGAGCACGCGTGAACCCTGACGGGCGGGTCGGGTCGGGTCGGGCGGACCCTAACGGGCGGGGCGGGTTCGGGCCGGGCGGACCCTAACGGGCAGGTCGGGTCGGGCAGGCGGGACACTAAAGTGTGGAGGCGCACTCGAGGGAGCACGCGTGAACCCTGACGGGCGGGTCGGGTGGGGCAGGCGGACCCTGGCGGGCGAAGCGGGTCGGGTCGGGTCGGGCGGACCCTAATGGGCGGGTCGGGTGAAGCGGGCGGGGCACTAAAGTGTGGGGCGCGCACGAGCGAGCACGCGTGAACCCCAACGGGCGGGTCGGGTCGGGTCGGGCGGACCCTAACGGGCGGGGCGGGTTCGGGCCGGGCGGACTCTAACGGGTGGGTCGGGTCGGGCGGGCGGGACGCTGAGGTGTGGGGCGCGCTCGAGTGAGCACGCGTGAACCCTGACGGGCGGGTCGGGTCGGGCCGGGCGGACCCTAACGGGCGGGGCGGGTCGGGTCGGGTCGGGTTCGGTAAGAGCAGCATAAGCAGCATGGAAGAAGAGGAGAGGGAAGAGGAGACGAGGAAGAGGAGGGCAAAGCTGAACCCAGGCGAAAACGAGCCCGGTCGAAAGCCAACCCGGGCGAAAGCCAACCGGGCGAAAGCCAACCCGGGCGAAAGCCAACCGGGCGAAAGCCAACCGGGCGAAAGCCAACCCGGGCGAAAGCCAACCCGGGCGAAAGCCAACCGGGCGAAAGCCAACCCGGGCGAAAGCCAACCCGGGCGAAAGCCAACCCGGGCGAAAACCAACCTGGGCGAAAGCCAACCGGGCGAAAGCAAACCCGGGCGAAACGAACCGGGCGAAAGGCACCGGGCGAAAACCAACCCGGGCGAAAAACATCTACGCCTCCTGGGGGGGGGGGGGGGGGGGCGGGGGGGCGGGGGCACATGGGAGCGAGGATGGGATCGAGGAGGAGGAAGGAGGGAGGGGAGGAAGGCGAGGATGAGGCAGGGAGGAAAGCGAGGCACGAGAAAGGCGGGGGGAGGAAGCTGGGAAGAGGCTCAATATTCTATCCAGGCCCCGCGAAGCCCAGACCCGTCCAACAGCAGCCGCCGTGCTCACGCGAGGGGCTCTTTTTTGGATACCTTCCGGGCCCGGCCTGGTAGTGCCAGCTGCCCTCGGGCTGGTACACCGTCAGGGACTCGCCGACCTCCGCGTGCCTCTGAAGGGGCCCTGGGACACACAAATAAATACACACAAATAATCCCCATATTTCCCCATATGTTCTGGGTTTTCGTCTTCCTCTCAATTCCTATATTTTCCCATATTTTCTGGGGAATCGACGATTCATTGTGTCTGTGTTTTTTTTCCCCTCCTGAGCCTGCGCGTGCGCTCCTCGACCGCCACCGCGGCCCAGCGCCGCCGGGCCGCGTCCTCCGCCTGCCACCGCGCCAGCGCCGCGTCCAGCGCGGCCTGCAGCGCGCCGCTGGCCTCGGTGGAGAGCGCGGGCGCGAACTCGTGGTCCTGCGCCCCAGCCCTCCAGCGATATAGGATACTCTGCAGCCAGCCTGTTTTCTTTCTCCCCTGAACACTGTGTGACTTTGGGGCGTGTTAGAGTATCTGTCGCACCGAAGGGATTGGACGGGTTTCCTGGCGATATATGATGCTCTGCAGCCAGCCTTTCTTGTCTCCCCTGAACACTGTGTGACTTTGGGGCGTGTTAGTATTTCTGTTGCGCCGGAGGATTAAGTGGACGGGCTTCCTGGGTTTTCGGCCGGTGCCCGGTGGTTGGTGGGGACCCGTGCGCGCCTCGCGGGCGCCCCGCGCTTGGGTGTTTTTTGTCCTGAGGCTTCGCCCGGAGGCCCACCCGTGAGCGGCTTCGCGCGCGCCGTTGTTGGGGCTTGTGTCCCGAGGTTCCGATGTGTGCCCCCGCGTTGGCGCCTACAGTGGGGCCCCGTGCCCTTGCACCACCTGGCTTGCACAGCACAGCCTAGACCACACAGTGTGCACCACACAGCTTGCAGCGTATATGGATCACACACCACAGCTTGCAAACAAAGCTTGCGCCAACACGTGTCACAACATGGCTCTCACCACCCAACTCACACCACATAGCTTGCACAACTTAGCCCGTGCCAACTAGTTCACACCACACATCTTACACAGCATGGCTTGCGCGACATAGCCTAAACAGCACAGCCCAACGCCATCCAGTTCAAACGACACACCTGACTAAACACAATTTAGGACACATTGCTTACCACACAAAACCTTGCACCGCATGGCTCACACCGTACAATTTACACAACACCGCTTAGCCTATTCAACCGATCATTCACCTCCACCAAAACAGTATCAAACCACTTTGTGGGATCCATGCTGGCGAACATTCTTAGAATTCGGCCCTCCTTGCCCTTTTTCAGAAATATTGTAACTTTTCAGCCGGCGGTCTTGCCTGGATGTCGGCCCTCCGGGGCCCGTCCTCGGACCCCGGGCCGCCCAAAAAGAACCCGGGGCGGCGAGGGCCGGTGGGGCCGCCGGCCCGGCTGACAAAATCTGTTGTGGTCGGCACCTTCGGAGCGGACCCGTCGCGGTCAGGCTTGCACCGGGCTGCAGCGGCAGGCCACGTGGGCACACGGGCTGCCCAAAAAAAACACATCCTTGGAAGCTCTTGGGCACGGCGGCGCACGCCAGGGGGGTGGCCTGCACGGGGCGGCCGAGGGGCCCGCTGCAGGGAGACGGGCGACCAACTGCAGAGGCGTAGGTTCTCGGAGCTCCGCGCGGATGTCTAGGATCGGCGGCGCGCTGTGCCCCGCGAGCGGACGGCGTGCCGCTCCGCTCCGCGGGCCGAGGGGCCGTGCCGAAGCATGGCAGGCTGGACGCCCCCCTCTCGTGAGCATAAACTTTCCGAGGCCAGCGCGGACTTCTTGGATCGGCGTGGAGAACGGCTCCGCGCATCCCCGCAACGCGCGGAAGAGGGTCCCGCGGTGCACAGGCGATCGAGCTCCGACAGGAGGGGTGCTGGCAGGACATGCAGGCCCGCGGAGCGCGCCAGGGGCAGGCCATAGGGCAGGCGTGGCGCCGATCCAGGACATCCGCGCGGAACTCTGAAGGCTGACGCTTGGACGCCGCTCCTCCCCTCCTCCACCTCCTCCTCCTCCTCCTCCCTCCTCCTCCTTCTCCCCTCTCCTCCTCCTCCTCCCCACCCCCCCTCCCTCATCCTCCTCCTCCCCCGCCCTCCTCCTCCTCCTCCTCCTCCTCCTCCTCCTCCTCCTCCTCCGCCTCCTCCCCCCTCCTCCTTCCCCTCCTCCTGCTGCTTCCTCCTCCTCCTCCAACTCCTCCTCCCTCTCCCCCTCCTCCTCCTCCTCCTCCTCCTCCTCCTCCCCCTCCTCCTCCTCCTCCTCCTCCTCCTCCCCCTTCTCCTCCTCCTCGCGCTTCCTCTTCGACTGCGCGCGCCGCTGGTCCTGCCCGTCCAGCAGCGCCTCGCCGGCGACCGGCAGCGCCACCTCGCGCCCCGAGCTGCGCCCTGCGGCGGCCGCGCGCGGGAGCGGCCCCCCCAGGGGGTGGGGGGCGAGGAGTGCCCTCGGGTGCGCGGCCTGCTCGAGTACAGTCAAAAACCCTAATAGCGACGCGCGGTAAGGACGCAAGACCCTTGAAAGCCGAAGTTGGGATTTTGGGGCGGCGGACGACGAAAACCCCAAGGACGCAAGAGCAAGGAAGAGCAAGGACGCAAGGGTATCCTGAGAAAAGTCGCGCGTCCGTATTGGGGTTTTTGACTGTACTGGGATCGGCGCGGGGGCTGCAAAGGGGAGGAGGGGGGGGGTATCAGTGGCTGCCACAGTGGGTTATACCTGGCCTAACCTTGTCCTGTAAGTGGGATACGGATGCACCAAGCAAGTGGCTTGTGGAGGTTAGATGGCTCTGCTCAGGTGGGCGGAGACCACTTGGCCCGGATGGCTGACTCTCCTGAGCCACTCGGGGCATTTTCGTGTCCCCCTGCAACCACTTGGATGCTCGTCCTCCCCTCAATATTTTCACGTGTGTTCTCAGATTCTCCTGACCATTGGCGGTTACTTGTACTCACCTGCACCACTTGGATGCTCCTCCTCCCCTCGACTTCTCCCATGCCCCTAGATCCTCATGGCCATCGGCGGATCTGTGTTCTCCCCTACGACCACGTGGATGCTCGTCCTCCCCTCCACTTCTCCCGTGCCCCCAGATCCTCATCGCCATCGGCGGATCCATGTTAGTTCTCCCCTGCGACTACGTGGATGCTCCTCCTCCCCTCCGCCTCTCACATGCCCCCAGATCCTCATCGCCATCGGCGGATACATGTTCGCCCCTACGACCACTTGGAGGCTCCTCCTCCCCTCCGCCTCTCCCGTGCCCCAAGATCCTCATCGCCATCGGCGGATATACTTGTTCTCGCCTGCGACCATTTGGAGGCTCGTCCTCCCCTCCGCCCCTCCCGTGCCCCCAAATCCTCATCACCATCGGCGCTTCTCCGCGCCCGTGCCCCTCTTTCCCCAGGAGGAGGAGGAGGAGGAGGAGGAGGAGGAGGAGGAGGAGGAGGAGGAGGAGGAGGAGGCCCCCCCGGACCGCCCGCGGGGCGCCCAGGGGGAGCCCCCACGTGCTCGCGCCGCGATCCAGAGGCGCGCCCTGGGGAGGGGCTGCTGGCAGCTTTCGGCCTCTCCTGGAAAGCCGACGTCGTCGACGATACCCGTCGTCGTCTCCGTCGTCGCCGTCGTCGTCGTCGTCGTCGTCAACCGTCGACCGTCGTCGTCGTCGCCGTCGTCGACGTCGACGTCGTCGTCGGCGTCGTCGTCGTCGTCGTCGTCGTCGTCGTCGTCGTCGTCATCGTCGTCATCGTCGTCGTCGTCGGCGTCGACCGTCGTCGTCGTCTGGGGCCCCCCGCTGGGCCCCAGGACCGTCAGAGCAGGCGTTCCTCCCCGCGCATCTCCCTCCCCCGCCGCCGCCCCGGAAGGCCACGGCACCCGAGGCCACTCCTGCGAGGAGCGGGCCTCCCAGGCGTCCGAGGATGTGAGGTCCTCAAGCCGCGGCCCGACGCCCATGGGGGAACGTTTCCCCAGGGACCCGCCTTTGACGGCCCCAAAGGTAACCCTATGCCCCCGATGACCACAGGGTGTGGCCCCACAGCCCCGGGCCAAGAGCGCTCCAAAGCGTCCCAAGATGCCTCAAGACGGTCCACAATGCCCCCAAGACGCCCCAAGATGCCTTCGAGACACCTCCCAAGAGGCCCCCAAGACGCAACAATTGGTGATTTCCGTGGGTTGTTGGAAGATTTTGGCATTCTCGCCTTTTCGGCTTACCCGCGCTCCAAGACGGCCCAAAAGGAACCCAAGATCGCCGAAACACGGCCCAAGAGGCCTCCAATTGTGCCTCGAAACGGCCCCAAAGGCTCCAAGAGAGCGCTAAAGCCCCCAAGACGGATCCAAGAGCGGGCCCCGACTGGGGACAGGAACAGACATTTCGCGCTCTAGGCTCCGAGAAATCCCCAGGAGACCCCAAGAGGCCCCCAAAAGGTCCCCAAAAGGCCCCCAAAAGGCCCCCGATAGGCCCCAAGAGGCCCCCATGAGGCCCCAGGAGGTCTTAGAAATACCGCCAAGACGCCCCCGAGAGGCCTCCTTCCAAGAGACCCCAAGACGCTTGGCCCCCAAATGCCCCAAGAAACAATCGAGAGGCCTCCTCCTCATCCTCCTCTATTCCTCCTCCTCCTCCTCCTCCTCCTCCTCCTCCTCCTCCTCCTCCTCCTTCTCGCTCGCCATGAGCATGCCCACATATAACACTATTGATACAGGATGGGCCGGCGGAGTGAGCGAAGCGACTCAATAGGAAAGCTCGGGGCTCCAGCGAGATCACAGATTTCCCCTGGCAGGTCGCCACAGAAAGGAGGAGCAGGAGCAGGAGCAGGAGCAGGAGGAGGAGGAGCAGGAGCAGGAGGAGGAGGAGGAGGAGGAGGAGGAGGAGGAGGAGGAGGAGGAGGAGGAGCGAACGGACTCTTTCTCGGAGTGCACGGCTGCACGGCATGCCTCCTGGCACAACGACGCCGTGCCCGAGGACGGTCCCAGAGCCACGAGGCCGACGCAAAGGAACAACAAAAAAAACAGCACCTGGACAGACAGACATCACATTGGATGAGGTCCTGGGGGATGCGTAGGGGGCCACATGCGAACCCTACCCCCCACGATTTCTGAGGGGGAAGGTGGGGTTCACTTTTCGCTCGGGGTGGCCCCCGAATTGCGGGCCGCCGGCCTACCACCCGCCCCAGCGCCACTCGCAGCTCCCCGGCGCCGTCGGGCGCGTCCAGGAAGAGCGCGTGGAGCCGGTCCTCGTCGGCGGCCCGCGCCGGGGCCGGGGCGGAGCGGGGCAGAGGGCGGGGCGTATCGGAGCGGCGCGGCCCGGCCTCCCCCCAGATCCGACGGCGCGCACACACTGAAACACCGGGGAGGGAACGAGCAGAGCCCTGAACCCCCAGAAGCGCTCGGAGCTCCGCACGGACTTCCTGGATCGGCGCCGGAAGCCCCTCCCTGGCGCGCGGGGCGCGCCAGGGCGGCGCCAGGGCGGCGCCGCTGGGGGGGCCCCCGACGCCAATCCAAGAAAGCCGCGCGGAGGTGCGAAAGCCAATGTTTATGGAGGTGGCACACCCCACCCCCACCCCCAGCCAGGACCCCCTCTCCCGACCTGGGGTCCAGGGATCCTGACTAGGAGTGAAGGTGATGTCTTGGCTCCCAAGAGGAGCTCCTCTGATTACCAGCCCCACCCCCAAGCCAGATCCCCCCTGAATCACCAGGACGCGATGGAGGGGTCCTGGCTTAGGGTGAGGGTGGGTTGTGCTGTCCTTCTTCCCAGGCCCCCGATGTCATGATTTTTCTCATGCCCCCGAAGGACGAACAACGCTGAAGACCTTCCGTTGTGGTTCCTTGCCACGACTCGAAAGGGGGGTCTGGGGTTTGTGCAGTTGTTGTTTCCTCGAGGGGGAAGAAGGCAGGACTTCTCTAGAGGCCTCCCAGATGGGGCCCGAGTAGATGGGGTCGGAGGATCGCGCCGCATCGCCGATACATCGGCGATGCATCGGCATTCATCGACGACGCATCGTCGACGTGGGCGATGCATCGGCGACGTCGACGTGAAGCAAATCGGGCTCCAGAGACTCCACGCTTTCGGCGGAGGGGGGGTGCACGAGGGTTCCCTGCAGCCAGAAAACACGCCGCGAAGCGACGAGAGCTTCAGAAAACGTCGAAAACATGTAGAACCCCCTTGGCGAAAAACATATCCTTATCCATGGTCTCGCGGGCCGGGCCCCTGGGCCGCGAACCCGCGGAGATGAAACGTCCTCTCGCGGACGCCCCGCGCGCAACGTATCCGTGCGACCGCGTATCTGCTGGATCGCGACCCGGAATCCACACGTTCGCCGCAAGTGAGAAACCTCAAGACCGAACAAGAGCCGCGCGCCAAAAATCATGCCGGCGAAGGGCCACTCTTTTAGGCGTAGCCGGCTGGACGTCCGAGGGGCTGGCTCCGGATGGCCCTGCGCTCGGAGGGCACAAGCTGAATATCAATGCCGCGCCAGTTGGACGACGCCACCAGCGTGGCACCGTCGAAGAAGTTTCCCATCGCAGAAGGGTTGCCATGCTACGTACGTGTATACCTCTATATGTTAACCAGCGAGGACCTCTAACAGTGATTCCAATCTATGCTGTGCAACCTCAGCTGTGCAATCAACGAAGTGCGATCTAGGTGGTGCAACCCATGTGGTGCAATCCTTGCGGTCCAAGACGATGCAAAGCAATGCAGAGCAATGCGATGGCAATGCGATTGCCATGCAATGCGCCCGCAAAGCAATGCAAAGCAACGCAAAGCAGCACAATTCGATGGCGATGCACAGCAATGCGACTGCAATGCAAGGGTGTGGGGGCAACGGGGTGGCGGCTACGGACGGGAACGGGGCCGCCGGGGCCGCGCAAGGGCCCAGAGTCGGAGAAGGAACATCAAAATCCCTAAGTGCAGTCACAGTTTTGATAATGTATGTCTACCTACACACCTTTACATCTCGAAATGTATATATACATACATATATATACATACATGGGCATATCTATCTGTACAGAGATATGCAGTATTGTGTTGTATTCGCTCTCCCAACATGTACACACGTATGTGATATATCGACATTTGTATATCTGAACAAATCTACATACAAATGTAAAGATATAGATATAGACGCTGTCCCTCATCGTTGGCACCCAGCTTAACCGCGTACGGCAATGTATGGTCGTCTGCCGCAGCGGTGTCATACAACACGTTTGTTGGAGAGTCGAACGAGTAACACGCTCAGCGCTAAAAAACACGCGCGTGCCACTGACACCCCTGATTGGAGGAAGAACCAACTGCACAAACATAGACGTGCGATGGGGGCGGCGCGCGATCCACTGTCGCTGGGCCTGAACAAGTACATCGTCGAAGGAAGGGGGAGAACACAGGGGACACCCCTTCCTCCCCCCTCCCGCTTAAAAAATCATTCGGCGGTGCCAGGCACCAGGCCG